TGTTTCCTCAAAACAACAAAAACAAAACAAAAAACCCACCAATATTTGGACCAGGGAGATGCCTCAGACTGGACAAAAAAAAAAAAAAAAAAAAAAAGCAAGTGTGTTGGGGCTGGATTAAAAGTGGCCATTACCTACAAAAACATTTTAGAGGCGAGGAGAATATGACAAGTCACGTAGTTACATCAGGTTTTTGTTCTTTTCAGAAAGAATCTCAAGGAGTTCATTCTGTCCTAGAACTCACTAAATGTATGAAAAATAACCTTGAACTCCTGCCTCTTTGGGCCCCAGTCCCTGAGATTTCAGGCATGGGGCAGGGAGGAGGAAAACCCCAGTAGGGTATGTCTAGAAAAATCTAGAAAGAAATGAGATAAAATTCTTCTCTAATCTCTCGTGGCCCTACAGTTAAAAAAAAGGCCACAACACAAACTGGTTTAACAACTTGTACCCCGCCCTGCGAGGCCTTCCCCGTGGCGTAGCCATCCACCTCTTTACCGGGGTGGGGGAAACTAAGGCACAGAGCCATGTGTCTGGAAAACCGGCCAGTATTTTTGTCTTTCGGGAAAGCAGAAATAAAAGCCAGTTCCCGCAATAAATCGGACTAGCCCGGGCGGAGCTAGGCCGAGGGTAAGTTTGGGAACTGGAGAGACAGACAGACAGACAGACTCTGATTTATCACAATCCAGCGGTATCCGGCTATGCCGACGCGGCCCCGCGGTGCGCACAGGGCTCAGAGCCACCCTGTATACAGCAGGCTCTCCCCTTCGTCGTGTGCAAGCCACCGTGGTGACCGTTACTCTCTTCCCTCCCTGCACACGCCCCCCCCAACCTCCCCATCCGAGAGGCGGGAAAGCAAGAGTTGGGCAAACTTCGCAGACTGCTCCCTGGGGAGGGCCGGGAGCGGCCACCGTGGGGTAGCACCGCAGCCCGGTGACCTTGAGGACGGCTCCGGGGCTCCCTCGTCAGCGCGATGCTCCGGAACCGCCGCCCAACCGGCAGGGAGCAAGCGTGCTCGCCCGACTCTGACCGAGCCTGCGGTCGCCATGGCCTGGGAGTGAATAATGGCGGGGGGGGCCCGG